ACTGTTCTTATGTAACTATAGAACCCATACTGATTTTGATTTCAAACAAAGTCCTTGGGGCAGTTATTGTGCTTAAATGCAACTACTATGCTTATGTCACTATAGGACCCAAATAGCCTCACTTTGCTTTAAAATAGGGTCCTTGGAGCAGTTAATGTGCTTAAATGCCACTACTGTTCTGATGTCATTATAGAACCCATTCACACTTTGATTTTGATTAAAACCGTCCTCGGAGCAGTTAATATGCATAAATGCCACTGCTGTCCTTATGTTAAGGTGGAACCCACCCATCCTCGATTTGAATTAAAACAGAAGTTTCTTGGGCCAGTTAATGTGCTTAAATGCAACCACTGTGCTATGTCACTATAGGACCCATCTATCCTCACTTTGCATTAAAGCAGAGGGTCTTTGGGGCAGTTGATGTACTTAAATGCAACTACTGTGCTTATATCACTCTAGAACCCATAGCCTCACTTTGGTGCTTAAATGCACTACTGCCTTTTAGTGTGGAACCCACCCATCCTCACATTGCATTAAAACAGGGTCCTTGAGTCAGTTAATGTGCTTAAATTGCACTGCCATCCTTACGTTACTAGAGAACCTATTCTCACTTTGACTTGGATTTAAAACCGAGTCCTTGGGGCAGTTAATGTGCTTAAATGCACTACTGCCTTTTTGTATGGAACCCACTCATCCTCACTTTGCATTAAAACAAGGGGTTTTGGGAGCAGTTATTGTGCATAAATGCCACTACTGTCCTTATGTCACTATGGAACCCATACTTAGATTTTGATTTAAAACAGAGTTCTTAGTAGTTAATGTGCTTAAATTTAAACGCCAGTACTGTGCTTATGTCACTATAGAACTCATGTACCTTCACTTTGCATTAAAGTCCTTATGCCACTGCTGTCCTTGTGTTAAGGTGGAACCCACCCATCCTCCATTTGAATTAAAACAGAAGTTTCTTGGGGCCGTTAACGTGCTTAAATGCAACCACTGTGCTGTGTCACTATAGGACCCATCTATCCTCACTTTGCCTTAAAGCAGAGGGTCTTTGGGGCAGATGATATACTTAAATGCAACTACTGTGCTTATGTCACTCTAGAACCCATAGCCTCACTTTGCATTAAAACAGGGTCCTTGGGGCAGTTAATGGGCTTAAATGCACTACTGCCTTTTAGTGTGGAACCCACTCATCCTCACTTTGCATTAAAACAGAGGGTCTTTGGGGCAGTTGATAAACTTAAATGCAACTACTGTGCTTATATCACTCTAGAACCCATAGCCTCACTTTGCATTTAAACAGGGTCCTTGGGGCAGTTAATGTGTTTAAATGCACTACTGCCTTTTAGTATGGAACCCACTCATCCTCACTTTCCATTAAAACAAGGGGTTTTGGGAGCAGTTAATATGCATAAATGCCACTACTGTCCTTATGTCACTATGGAACCCATACTCACTTTTACTTTGATTTAAAACAGAGTTCTTGGTAGTTAATGTGCTTAAATTTAAACGCCAGTACTGTGCTTATGTCACTATAGAACTCGTATATCCTCACTTTGCATTAAAGTAGAGGGTCATTATGCCACTGCTGTGCTTGTGTTAAGGTGGAACCCACGCATTCTCACTTTGCATTAAAACAGAGGTTCCTTGGTACAGTTAATATGCTTAAATGCCACTACTGCCCTTATCTTACTTTTGCAACCCACGCATCCTCGATTTGAATTAAAACAGAAGTTTCTTGGGCCAGTTAATGTGCTTAAATGCAACCACTGTGCTGTGTCACTATAGGACCCATCTATCCTCACTTTGCATTAAAGCAGAGGATCTTTGG